GCTAGGGGACTGTCTAGGGCAGGGGGGGTAGGGGGGAATGGACACATATGTAATACCCTTTGTAATAAAAAATTAAAAAAAAATAATAAATGTGACTTTTAACTGGAGGGAAATTGAAATATCCTATATAGAATAAGCATGAGAAAATTAAAAAGTAGTACTAAATCTGTACTATTACATTTTAAATATGTACTATTACAGGTCTTTCCTTCCAAAAAAGGTCACAATTTAAAGATCTGAAAACCTATTACTAAAAAAAATTTAGAAAATCAGGTCTGTCCTTTTATTTCGATGACTTCTGTTACTGTCCAGCCCTGCCCCCACCCACTTCATCATACCCACTTCAGAACACCTCAGTCTGGTTATAGCCAACCCTCTGCCCTCTCTACACCTCCACCTGTGCTGCTTGCGAACACTGCCTGTGAACACACTTGAATGCCAATTTCACTTTAAATGCTAGTGGATACTTTCTGCGGCACAGCAGTCACACTGTCATGTCGCTGGTCCATTCATACATCATACATCACTAGTACATCACTAGTTCACTCTCAAGTCCTCAACACTTCCCTTCCCATTCCTACTTTCGGTAGATGATTCCTATTCCTGTGAGGAAATGGAAACAACCAGCAGAGAACTTCGACCACCACACTTCCTACCAAATGGCAACTAAGTCCACATACTTGCTTTTGCTCCTGTTGTATGAAAGACCTGTCTGTTCCATTCTACGCATCCTCACCCCTCAACCAATGAGTTAGGTTCAGTTCCCTCCTGTCTATTCAAGGACACCACTGCAGCAATTCTCCAGCTTTCTCTTCTGCATCATCAGCTTCTCCCTCTTCACTGGGTAATCCATTAGCACGCACATATGATGTAATTTCTCTCATCTTAAAACAAAACTAGAAAAAGACAGCAATACCCTGCACCATCCAGGCTTTTCTGCCAGCTATTTCTCAAGTTCCCTTAAGAGCAAAACTACTTTTAAAAACTGCCTATATTTGCTGTCTCCAATTACTCCCTTCTTACTCTTGAATCCATTCCATGATGCTACTGTAAATCTGACGGTCAGTTCATTTTCTCCAGCATTTGGCAGCCGAGCACTTCCTCCTCGAGACACTTCCTCTACTTGGCTTCCAGAATATTCCTATGAGTTTTCTGCTTACCTCACTGCTGTCCTCTCAGTCTCTTACTGATTCCTATTAATCTCATTTCAGCTTTGGTGTGGTCAATCCTTAAAACTCACAGTGGGCTTTGTTTATATTCATGCCCTAGGTGATCTTATTTCATGGCTTTAAATACTATGACATGCTGGTGACACCCTAATCTAGCCCTTCAGTTTGTGGCAATCTCCTGATTCCAGATTCATATATTTAACTGCCTACTGGACATCTCCAATAGGACATCTATCAAGCATCTTAAGCTTAATATGGCTATAAGTGAATTTCTAATCTATCCCCCGCCCCAAACCTGCTCCTCCTACAGTGTGCTCCATCTCAGTAAATGATAATTCCACACTTCCAGGGCTCAGTGGTTGATTGTCAACCTATGAACCAGGATGTTACAGTTCAATTATCTGTGAGGGCACATGCCTGGGTTGCAGGCTTGATCCCCAGTGTGGGGCATGCAGGAGGCAGCTGATCAATGATTCTCTCTCATCATTAATGTTTCTATCTCTCTCTCCCTTCCCTTTCTGAAATCAACAAAACTATATTAATAATTTTAAAAAAGTCTTTAAAGTCACTCTCTCATACCTTCAACCAACCCTTCAGCAAGTCCTATTGGCTCTATCTTCAAAATGCAACCAGAGTCTGCCACTTCTTACCGCTTCTGAGCAAGAAACTGGTGTCTTAGTTACTTCCAATAAAGTTCATTTCTAACTAAATTGGAACCAAAACCAAAAATATATTTTATAAAACGCTAAACAAGAGATTATATGAACAATCCAACTAATATGTAAAGAATATTGATCAGTGCACATATGTAATATCTTAATCAATAAAAAATATATTAAAGTGAAAAAAAAAGAATATTGATCAGTGACTTCAGGCTTGTCTAGAAATATAAAAGTCCAAAGATATAGGACAACCACAGACACTCAGAGTGAAAAGAGTACCTGGTCAAATTTTTGTTCCTTTCATAAATCAACAGAGCTTTGATGTCTTTGCAAATGTGACGATATAGTTAAAATGATCTGAATGCTGTAAGTTAATTGGAATACCCACATAGATTGTAATAGGAATAAACCTTTTCCTTCAATTAAATGAGCAGGTCAAAAATCACAGGTTGCAATATTAATTTCAGAAAACAAATTAGGTGAAAAGTACTAAGAGAACTGTTATCTTAATATATAAAGAGGTAACATGCAAATTAGGCCAGGACACCGTAATGGGACGACTCGACAGGAGGAGATTGTGTGCACAGGTGAGGCCTGGAGCGGAGACAGAGACAGAGATGGGGGCCTGCCCAAACCGGTGCTGCAGCTCCGGTGGCCTGGAGTGGACACAGGCAAGGGGGCCGGTGGGGGGGCCTGGGGCAGAAGTCAGGCGCAGGTCCCAGCTGCCCATGGTGCCGGTCTGGCCTGACTCCCGTGGCGGCCTCGGGGCACCTCCTCTGGGTGTCTAGTATACAATAAAAAGCACAGTGAGTGATAGAAACATAACCAGAATGAATATATAAGCCACACTCACACAAATAGGTTGCATAAAAGAAGAACCATTAAAAAACGTATGGAGAACCCCTGGCTGGTTTGCTTAGTTGATGGAGTGTCATCCCATACATCAAAAGGTTTCGGGTTCAATCCCCAATTGCTTGTAACTGAACAAACCTTACCAAAACAACTACATTTTCGGTGATTCTATTATTTTTTAATTATTCATGTGTATCTTTCAAACCTCCCAGTATTTTAAGCTACAAGAGAACAATAAGATGCTTTAAGACTTCAATGAATTTGCCTCCACAGACCTAGTACCCTACAAACAATTGGTACAGAAAAGGCACAAAGATGAATTCTATAATCCACCCTGTGCTGCACCACCTACATCCTCTTTCAGAACTGAAGCATTCATTCTCCTAGCAACCAGGAGTGTTGGCTGCTGACAGTTCACAGCAAAGATTCTAAGAAATGCCAACAGAGCCACTTCACCCAAGGTAATGGCCCCTCCTTGGAGGCAGCCTGCATTCAATCATGCAGAAGTCCCAGAGCCCAGACTTCTTGTCTCAGTTCAGGACATCTTTGAAGGGCCACCTCAAAGAAACTTGTGGGATGAGCTGAGGCCTTTTCTGAAAATGCCTTAGAGTTAAACTCTCCCTCTGTCCAATTCTGCTTCCATCTCCCCTTGAGGTGGTGATTCTGAGATCACTCCCAAATAAACTTTTTGCACATAAATCTCTACTTAAAGTTTATTTTCCATAAAATTTGACTTGTAGTATATTTTAAGGCTAATACAGTATCAGAGTAGAAAAAAAGTTAGGAAAAATTAGCCAGGTACAGGGTTAATTTCCTTTTTACCACGTCTTTCTTTTGAAGAATTTTATCCATCTTCCATTTTGTTGCTAGAGAAAGGGGTCCTGTTCTTTCCAGTGGCCTCCAACTTATAAGGGCAGGTAGCTACTGCAGCCACCCTCCCCCACCCAGCAGGTACCGTGCTCTCCCTACACAGCAAGGAACACCTCAAGCCCCAGCTCCCTACCCTGGGTCCTTCCTGCTGCTGCACTTCTAAAATCTGGTCCTTTCAGTGCCTCGCTCTGGGTGAAGACCAAAGGAGAGGAAGCGGTGAAGCAGAGGAGCCCATCTAGGAGAAGCTGATCCTGCCCCTTCCTCTGGCTGCTCCCCAGCTGGGCTCTGCCTGGAAGCCTGAGTCCAGGAAGCAGGGAGTGCTGATTCTGAGGACAGAGACATGGGCCCTGCTGGCAGTGTCTTCCTGCTGTTCCTTGTGCTGGGTGAGCTTCAGGTGGGCTGGGAAGGAGAGAAGGAGAGGTTTTTTTGGCTCAAGAAGTTATGGTGTAGAATAAGATGACACGTCACCCAATGGGATCTTACTTATAATAGTGTGCCCTGAGAAAGTCCTGAGAGGATACTATATGCCAGGCATCTTTCTAAGTATCTTAGATATAGTAGTAAACAAAACAGAGATCCCTGCCCTCATGGGGCTTATAAACAATGCACATATGGAATATGTAAATTACATAGCACTTTAGAAAGTAATAAATGCTATGAGAGGAAGGGGCATCAGGAGTACAGGGACTTGGAGGCATGTTGTAATTTTAAATAGGGGAGTCAAGGAAGGTTTCATTAAGAGGGACTCATTTGAACAAAGATTTGAAGGAGATGAGTGATTTAGCTAAGAGGATCTAGGAAAAGAACATTTTAAGACTAGGGAATGTAAATGCTGGAAGTGTAAATGCTGTTCAGTGATTTCAGCATAAGCCTGTTCATTTATTTTTTTGGCCCACAGTGATTTAAAAGCAGGGTAGACTGAGAGTAGCCAAAAGATAACAGGTAACAAAAAAGAAAGATGTACAAATACTGAAAAATGCCAATTTAGTTAAACAGGACAAAAGAAAACAGCTTATAAACCTCAAAAACATCTGAAAGCATCACTGTATGTACAACCTAACATCTTAATATTCCTGATGACAGCCTTGAATCACCAAGTAAAAATTAAATTATGTCCCACGTATGCTGCTAAAGAAGGAAGGTAGGTGTGTAAAAATTATCAGGATTTCCCACTAATGGGTAAACATTCATAAAATTTTTGCCTTTATCACCAACATGAGGAATTTAGTATGTGGAAAGGCTCTGTTCAGTGAATTTTAGATACTGTGTTATCATATATTAATGATACGGTGTGTGCCTGTCTTAGGGTCTTGGCCATGCTCTTCTTCCAAAAACAATGATCTGCAGTCAGGTGAGTGGTCTCCATTTGGGCCCCAAATTGCTGGGTTTGGAACTGGATTAGGATGGCATATGGAACCTACGGAGGATACAGGTTCTAGGGGTGGATTTGGAAGATGATGAGAAAATGGGGACAATGGGACACCCAGACCACATTTCCTTCTCTCCCCTTTCTCTAGTGTGTGGACGACCTGTATACTCAGGCCGTATTGTGGGTGGCCAGGATGCTGTTGAGGGGCACTGGCCTTGGCAGGTCAGCCTGCACTATGGCCAGACTCACATCTGTGGAGGTTCCCTCATCAGTGACAGATGGATACTGACAGCAGCACACTGCCTACAAAAGTGAGTTCTAGGCTAATGGCTAGCACAGATAGAGTCTCAGTGAATAGTTGAATTATTTCTTGAATGAAGCAATAGACAAATGAAAGTGGCAAGATGAGTAAGAAGAAGGAAACCCTAGGTACTTTGGACTAGGGACAGGACAAAGAGGTAGTAAAAGAAATAATGAAAATAGACACTGTATTAGAAGCTTCTTTTTGGTTGTTAATCCTCATCTGAGGATATTTTTCCATTGATTTTTAGAGTGAATGGAAGAAAGGGGGATAGACACAGAGAGAGAAACATCGATATGAGAGAGATACATTGATTGGTTGTACCCCAGTCGGGCCGGAAGAGAGCCAGCAACTGAGGCATAGGGCATGTGCCCTTGACCAGAATCACCCTTAGATAGGACATCTAAACATGAGAAGTTGGAACAGAGTGTGGAACAAATGGCATTTTGGAAGATAAGTTGTGAGTTGACCTACCTGAAAGAACCTAACCATAGGGTAGGATTTTCACATTAGAACAGCAGTTCTCAACCTGTGGGTCACGACCCCTTTGGGGGTCGAACGACCCTTTCACAGGGGCTGCCTAAGACCACTGGAAAACACATATGTAATTACATATTGTTTTTGTGATTAATCACTATGCTTTAATTATGTTCAATTTGTAACAATGAAATTGGGGGTCACGAGAACATGAGGAACTGTATTAAAGGGTCGCAGCATTAAGAAGGCTGAGAACCACTGCTCTAAGCTTTGTGGTAACTTGTTATTTGACAATAGATAACTAATATATACAGAAATTAAAACAACATGACTTTTCAACAACACTGTAGGGTCAAAGAAAATAAAGAAATAACTTTAAAATACTGAGAGAAAATTATTTCCAATCTAGAATTCTACCCATATGCAAACCATCAATCAAGTGTGGGACAGAAATAAGACATTTTCAAATATACAAAACAGCAAAAATATTACCTCTCATGCACATTTTATCATGAAGCCAAAGGAAAAAATTGCTTCACCAAAATAAAGGGGGTAGAGGAGAGACAGGAAAACATGGGATCCAGAGAAAAGATGATACAACATAGAAGAGAATCCCAGGAAAATGATAAGGAAAAGTACCAAGATTGGAGCAAGAGGGCAGAGGGCAAAAAAAAAAAAGGAGACGGAGGAGGAGGAGAAAGTATTGATATTAACATACTGAGAAATATACATTTCAGGCAGAGAGTTTGGGGAATGAATGATGAATTAATGATAGGTAATTAGAAAACTAAGAAGACACAGAAGACAGACTACATTATTAACTCTAGGACAAGCGCAAAAAATTTATAAGAAATGTATTCACAGGATCCAATATGGTCCAGTAGTGAATAATGTTTACAAAGTCACAAAAATATACACATTAAATATGGATCTAAAACAAAATCATAATACTTGGTTAGGAAGATGGTGAAAAGAAAGTGGGAGGTTGGCAGTGATTGTTGGCTCAATCCTCACCTTTCACAACAGAAATACAGTATTCTATTAAAAAAATTAATAGCAATCAATAGGGTTTCTTGAAAATACAAAGGAAAATATCTAAGAGTTGAAAGTGATTGTCTTTGGGTAAGGGTTAATTGTGGGCAGTAGGGCAGAGAACTTTTGTATTTATTTAGTACATCTTTATCAAATTATTTGACATTTCAAATTATATATATATACATATATTTATAAATATATATAACAGGTGATAATACTTTGCTTTTAATTGTTATTAGAAATAAAGGTCTAGTACTCAGAAATAAAAACTGGCAATAAAAAAGGCCAATGACTATTAAGCATTGGCTGAAACTATGGAGAATGGGAGACGTGAACAACAGAACCAGGACAAAATGCTGGCCATGAGCATATAAGAGGAGACCACAGAAACATTAGACAACAACAAAAAAGAGCAATCAGGGAGGGAGGGAGGAAGAAAAGCAGACAAACCAACTCTAGTCAAGCTGGAAGCAGGCTGGTTAATTCCGAGTCTGTTACCCTTCTTTCTTATGGAGTGTTACTGCTTGCTACACCTAGGCCGCTTGTTCTAACCCAGCTGTAACACATATGCATGCCTCACTTTTATTTTCCTCTTTCTCTTCCCTTTAGGACCTGGATTCCTTTCATATATTCTGTGTGGCTGGGATCGATTAAAATAGACTATTCAAATAACGGTGTGAAACATCATGTGTTCAAAATAATTCTCCCTCCCCAATACCAAAATACAACTGCAGACATTGCTTTATTGAAACTGGCCTCTAGAGTCACCTTCACTTCTTTTATCCTGCCCATCTGCCTGCCCAATAACACAAAGCAGTTGACAATTCCTGGCTCTTGCTGGGTGACTGGATGGGGACAAGTTAAGGAAAATGAAGGTGAGCATGGGTAGAGAAAGGGGTTGTTTTATATGTCACCCTCTTATACCCATTCTAGAACACTGAGATTCTAGATACATTTTTACCAAGGTAAATATTTTTCAACAAAACCAGGTCAACCAATTCATATTATTTATAAGTCTTCAAATAAAATGTAATTTTTGACATTTTTATCTCTAATTACTCACATCCTGCCTAGAATATGCAAGAGCAGATACTAAAACACATAATTACCTCTCTGAAACAGGTTAAAAAAAACTTGATTTAAAGTTCGGAGAGAGTGTAGGGTTTTTTTAATTTGTTTTTAAAGTGTAGTGTCAACTATTTCCCAGAATGGGGTAATGACAAATTAGGAAATGATCTGGGAGCAGAAAAGTGGGAAAGGTAAAAGTTTTAGAATATTCACATCCTTCCTTAATCAAAATGTATCTGAATTTCTCTTTATTTGGAATGTCAAGAATACCCCACATTGGCACATTAGATAAACCTCAAACAAACAGAAATAATTTGGAATTATCTGTTGTTTTAGATTAAGTGTTCCAAAAAATTCTTCCACTAGCAAATATGATTAGAAAGTGATTATATTCTGCTTTTGGATTCCCATTCAGAAATTTTGTACATCATGACTGAATACTGCCCCTGCACCTTTTCAAATTGCTTTTCCTTTAATTCCTGTCTATCTCTCTACAGGTAATTACACTCCCACCCTCCAGGAAGCAGAAATACCCATCATTGACCGCCAAACTTGTGACTATCTCTACAACCCACTCATCGTCATAGTACCAGAATTAGAGGCACTCATCAAGGAAGACATGATTTGTGCTGGTGATATTCATAAAAAGGATAGCTGCAAGGTTAGGGTTTACTCTTGAAATTTTTTGTATAAAGTCTCTTTTTTTCTTAATTTATCTTTATTGTTGAAAGTATTACAGATATCCCTGTCCCTTATTGTCCCAATCTAGCCCACTCTCATCCCCTGCCCCAGCCTTCACCACACTATTGTCTGTGTCCATGGGTTATGCCTATAAGTTCTTTGGTTAATTTCTTCCCACCCACCCCTACCTTCCTTCTGAAATTCAGTCTGTTCCTTATTTATGTGTCTCTGGATCTATTTTGTTCACCAGTTTATTTTGTTCACTAGACTCCACATATGAGTAAGATCATGTGATACTTGTCTTTCTCTTACAGGCTTATTTTGCTTACCGTAATACTTCCCAGGTCTTAATGTGGATGTAGGTATTTCTATCTGTAAACAATAGTGGGTAAGGACTCAAGAGATAAGAGTTCTGACAATAATTCTTGTGTTAGTCTGGACAAATGACCTAACCTTTATCTAGGAATTTAATCTCTTCAACTGTTCATTTAGAGCATCTCTAACCACTGGTCACTGGGTTTTTACAAACTTGTCAATTTTTCTAAATATATTAAGAGGTTGATACAGAATTGCCAACTTTTTTATTTTTTCAAGTAATAATATTTCATTCTACATTTGAAAGATGCTATTCCTTTGTCTCCTGATCATATTGTCTGATGAAAAATTAGCCATCAGTTGTGTTTTCCTCTACTGAGTGTGACATGTTTTGCTCTGGTTGCTTTCAATTTTCCCTCATATTTGATTGTCAGAAGTTTGATTGTGATGTGCTATGTATGGTTTTTGTTGTATTTATCCTGTTTGGCATTTGTTGAGTTTTGTTTTTCTTTTAATCTTGTTTTTATTTTTTTATCAAAACTTGAAAAGTTTTCATTGATGATTTCTTCCAACATTATTTTACTTCATTTCTCTTTTTTCCTCTTCTGATTAAAACCACAAATTTATGAATTTCACCTTTTTATATTTTCACACAGGTCCCTGAACCTGTTCATTTTATTTTTCTCTTTTTCAGTTCTTTACATACTTTTAAATTAATCCGTATTCAAGATCATTGTCTCTTTCCCCTGTCACCTATATTTTCCTGTTAAGTTCATCTAGTGAAATTTTTCAAATATTTTATTTTTCAGTTCTGAAATGACCATTTAACCTCCTCTCCCCCCTTATATGCACAGGTGAGCACACACACACACACACACACACACTACACTTTTCTATATCTCTACCAAGATTTTCTATCCGTATATTCATTATGCAAATTAAACAATGAGACATGGCTTCACATTCACTCGGATGGCTACAATCAAGATAGATAATGATGCCCTTGCCGGTTTGGCTCAGTGGATAGAGCGTAGGCCTGCGAACTGAAAGGTCCCAGGTTTGATTCCGGGCAAGGGCCCATGCCCGGATTGGGGGCTCGACCCCCAGGGGGGGACTGGCAGGAGGCAGCCGATCCATGATTCTCTCTCATCATGGATGTTTCTATCTCTCTCTCCCTCATCCTTCCCCTCTGAAATCAATAAAATATTTTAAAAAAAAAAAAAAAGAAATGTTAGACCTGCCGAAACTGGTTTGGCTCAGTGGATAGAGCGTAGGCCTGCGAACTGAAAGGTCCCAGGTGTGATTCCGGGCAAGGGCCCATGCCCGGATTGGGGGCTCGACCCCCAGGGGGGGACTGGCAGGAGGCAGCCGATCCATGATTCTCTCTCATCATGGATGTTTCTATCTCTCTCTCCCTCATCCTTCCCCTCTGAAATCAATAAAATATTTTAAAAAAAAAAAAAAAGAAATGTTAGACCTGCCGAAACTGGTTTGGCTCAGTGGATAGAGCGTAGGCCTGCGAACTGAAAGGTCCCAGGTGTGATTCCGGGCAAGGGCCCATGCCCGGATTGGGGGCTCGACCCCCAGGGGGGGACTGGCAGGAGGCAGCCGATCCATGATTCTCTCTCATCATGGATGTTTCTATCTCTCTCTCCCTCATCCTTCCCCTCTGAAATCAATAAAATATTTTAAAAAAAAAAAAAAAGAAATGTTAGACCTGCCGAAACTGGTTTGGCTCAGTGGATAGAGCGTAGGCCTGCGAACTGAAAGGTCCCAGGTGTGATTCCGGGCAAGGGCCCATGCCCGGATTGGGGGCTCGACCCCCAGGGGGGGACTGGCAGGAGGCAGCCGATCCATGATTCTCTCTCATCATGGATGTTTCTATCTCTCTCTCCCTCATCCTTCCCCTCTGAAATCAATAAAATATTTTAAAAAAAAAAAAAAAGAAATGTTAGACCTGCCGAAACTGGTTTGGCTCAGTGGATAGAGCGTAGGCCTGCGAACTGAAAGGTCCCAGGTGTGATTCCGGGCAAGGGCCCATGCCCGGATTGGGGGCTCGACCCCCAGGGGGGGACTGGCAGGAGGCAGCCGATCCATGATTCTCTCTCATCATGGATGTTTCTATCTCTCTCTCCCTCATCCTTCCCCTCTGAAATCAATAAAATATTTTAAAAAAAAAAAAAAAGAAATGTTAGACCTGCCGAAACTGGTTTGGCTCAGTGGATAGAGCGTAGGCCTGCGAACTGAAAGGTCCCAGGTGTGATTCCGGGCAAGGGCCCATGCCCGGATTGGGGGCTCGACCCCCAGGGGGGGACTGGCAGGAGGCAGCCGATCCATGATTCTCTCTCATCATGGATGTTTCTATCTCTCTCTCCCTCATCCTTCCCCTCTGAAATCAATAAAATATTTTAAAAAAAAAAAAAAAGAAATGTTAGACCTGCCGAAACTGGTTTGGCTCAGTGGATAGAGCGTAGGCCTGCGAACTGAAAGGTCCCAGGTGTGATTCCGGGCAAGGGCCCATGCCCGGATTGGGGGCTCGACCCCCAGGGGGGGACTGGCAGGAGGCAGCCGATCCATGATTCTCTCTCATCATGGATGTTTCTATCTCTCTCTCCCTCATCCTTCCCCTCTGAAATCAATAAAATATTTTAAAAAAAAAAAAAAAGAAATGTTAGACCTGCCGAAACTGGTTTGGCTCAGTGGATAGAGCGTAGGCCTGCGAACTGAAAGGTCCCAGGTGTGATTCCGGGCAAGGGCCCATGCCCGGATTGGGGGCTCGACCCCCAGGGGGGGACTGGCAGGAGGCAGCCGATCCATGATTCTCTCTCATCATGGATGTTTCTATCTCTCTCTCCCTCATCCTTCCCCTCTGAAATCAATAAAATATTTTAAAAAAAAAAAAAAAGAAATGTTAGACCTGCCGAAACTGGTTTGGCTCAGTGGATAGAGCGTAGGCCTGCGAACTGAAAGGTCCCAGGTGTGATTCCGGGCAAGGGCCCATGCCCGGATTGGGGGCTCGACCCCCAGGGGGGGACTGGCAGGAGGCAGCCGATCCATGATTCTCTCTCATCATGGATGTTTCTATCTCTCTCTCCCTCATCCTTCCCCTCTGAAATCAATAAAATATTTTAAAAAAAAAAAAAAAGAAATGTTAGACCTGCCGAAACTGGTTTGGCTCAGTGGATAGAGCGTAGGCCTGCGAACTGAAAGGTCCCAGGTGTGATTCCGGGCAAGGGCCCATGCCCGGATTGGGGGCTCGACCCCCAGGGGGGGACTGGCAGGAGGCAGCCGATCCATGATTCTCTCTCATCATGGATGTTTCTATCTCTCTCTCCCTCATCCTTCCCCTCTGAAATCAATAAAATATTTTAAAAAAAAAAAAAAAGAAATGTTAGACCTGCCGAAACTGGTTTGGCTCAGTGGATAGAGCGTAGGCCTGCGAACTGAAAGGTCCCAGGTGTGATTCCGGGCAAGGGCCCATGCCCGGATTGGGGGCTCGACCCCCAGGGGGGGACTGGCAGGAGGCAGCCGATCCATGATTCTCTCTCATCATGGATGTTTCTATCTCTCTCTCCCTCATCCTTCCCCTCTGAAATCAATAAAATATTTTAAAAAAAAAAAAAAAGAAATGTTAGACCTGCCGAAACTGGTTTGGCTCAGTGGATAGAGCGTAGGCCTGCGAACTGAAAGGTCCCAGGTGTGATTCCGGGCAAGGGCCCATGCCCGGATTGGGGGCTCGACCCCCAGGGGGGGACTGGCAGGAGGCAGCCGATCCATGATTCTCTCTCATCATGGATGTTTCTATCTCTCTCTCCCTCATCCTTCCCCTCTGAAATCAATAAAATATTTTAAAAAAAAAAAAAAAGAAATGTTAGACCTGCCGAAACTGGTTTGGCTCAGTGGATAGAGCGTAGGCCTGCGAACTGAAAGGTCCCAGGTGTGATTCCGGGCAAGGGCCCATGCCCGGATTGGGGGCTCGACCCCCAGGGGGGGACTGGCAGGAGGCAGCCGATCCATGATTCTCTCTCATCATGGATGTTTCTATCTCTCTCTCCCTCATCCTTCCCCTCTGAAATCAATAAAATATATATATATATTTTAAAAAAGATAGATAATGACAGGAGTTGATTAAGAATCTGGAAAAATTGGACCTCCATACACCTAGTGGGAATGTAAAATGGTTCAACTGTTTTGGAAAGTTGTCTAGTAGTTCCTCAAAAGGTTAAATATAGAGTTACCACATGACCTAGGAATTCCACTCCTAGGTATACACACAAGAGAAATAAAAACATGTCTATATAAAAACTTATAAATAAATGTTCATAATAGCATTATTCATAATAGCCAAAAAGTGAAACAACTCAAATGTCTACCAACTGATGACTAGATAAACAAAATGTGGTATATCCATATAATGGGATATTATTCAGCCATTAAAAGGAATGAAGTACCAATATATGCTACAACATAGATGAACCTTAAAAAGAATATGCCTAATGAAAGAAACCAGACACAAAAGCTCACATATTATATTATTCCATTTACACAAAATGTCCAGAATGTGCAAATCCATAAGGCAAAAAGTAGATTACTGGTGTTGGTCTAGGGCTGGGAGGAGTGGGAGGAAAAGAGGATGACTGCTGATGGGTATGGGGTTTCTTCTGGAGGTGATGAAAATATTCTAAAATGTGCCACGGTGATGGTTGAGCAACATTGTAAATATACTAAAAACCACTGACTTGTATACTTTAAGTGGGTGAATTGCATGGTTGTGAATTATAACAATAAGGCTGTTACCAAAAGGAGAAGCAAGATTAAAGACATATTACCAACTATTTACTTATCACTATCGTTTTGTAAAAGAAAGGATTGACACTAAAAAAGGCCATAAGAACCTAAGAACCTAAGGACATAATAAGGGCAGTACAGTAAATTAAATAACTTTAGTGAAAAAACTCATCACATGAATTTCTCTTTCTTACCACAAATGAATATTTTAGCTAAGATCTCTGCCAATTTCAAATTCTATAATTCTAGGATTTCTGTGATCTCCCGCCTAATGCTGTGGGACGTCCAGCGCCCTCTAGAATTCTGTAGCTCCACAGCCTCCACTGCCCCATTCTAAGGAACTCTCTACCTCTTCTGGCCACATTCCTATTCATGGTCTTTTTCATTATGCTCATGACCTTTATCTCTTCCTTAGGGTGATTCTGGAGGGCCTCTGTCATGTCATATTGATGGTGTATGGACCCTGATAGGGCTGGTAAGCTGGGGATTAGGATGCGGTAAATCTCTTCCTGGAGTCTACACCAATGTGATCTACTATCAAAAATGGATTAAAGCCACTATCTCAAGAGCTGAGGTTTGGGGGCCAACAATCTGGATTTATCTTATTGTTCCCTATTTTGCTGTTCTCTTTGGCTCTCCTGGTACCCTACTGTGCCTTTGGGCCTAACATCTTACCAGGAGAGTACACAGTAAAGCTAAAGCCACTGACCAAGTACAGGGCTAGGAAGAGAAAGCATGGAGAGTAAGTCTCAGTACAGAGAATGCACAGAACACTCACTGGGAACTCTGGATAACTTCATTAAAATGATTAGAAATAATTCTGTTTTTGAAGTTCTTGATTCTGAAGTATGGTTTAGTGGTTCGAATATGAACAGCTGAGAAATAAGGTTGCCACTTCTGTGCATGGCATTCTTTGTCCCTGGCTATGCATCTTGCAAGGCAAGAAGGATGCCTTCTATGAATAAGTATTTATGGAAACAAATTAAATGGCTACTGGAGAAACAGGCAAGAAAAAAAAGTATCTGTGAAGGCAAACGGGAAGGTCCTCAAGGAAGTAAATTACGGTTTTACAGTGGAGCCTTGACTTACGAGTTTAATTAGTTCCGTGACGGAGCTCGTAACTCAAATTACTTATATGTCAAATCATTAAAGTGAACGAGTGAGACACGTGATGCTGGGCTGATGTTGTGGTGTTCACTGTGACGTTCGCTGCGCCAACTAGCGGTGGGGTATCTGAAGCTGGCTCATAACCCGAATTTTAGCTCGCAACTCAAAGCAAAAAATCGGCCGAGAGATGGCTCATATCTCGAAAAACTTGTTAGTCAGGACACTCGTAAGTCAAGGCCCCACTGTACTTCCTGCCCATGGGCTGCATTATGGGCTTCTTAGTAGGTCTAACATTTCTTTTTTTTTTTTTTAATATATTTTATTGATTTTTTACAGAGAGGAAGGGAGAGAGATAGAGAGTTAGAAACATCGACGAGAGAGGAACATCGATCAGCTGCCTCCTGCACAACCCCTACTGGGGATGTGCTCACAACCCAGGTACATGCCCTTGACCGGAGTCGAACCTGGGACCTTCCAGTCCGTAAGCCGACGCTCTATCCACTGAGCCAAACCAGTTTCGGCAGGTCTAACATTTCTTATCTCCTCTACTGTCCTATGTTTCCCCTCTGCAGCAAGGGGTCTAGTAAGAAATACATTTATGTGGTTCAGCTCTGGAATTTTTAGAAATTTTTACTCTTTGAAATACCAATGTAACAGACTGCCAAAAATGGATTAACGCCATGATTATAAGAGCTGAAGTCTTGGGTTTCAATAATCTGGACTGATCCAGGTTAATATCAATTGTATAGTAAAGTAGTTTAAATGTTTATAAGAAAAGTATTACATTCCTTACTTAACCAGCATGCTTCTTTTGTTAAACAATCACATGACTTATACTATGCCCTTCTCTGCCGAGGCTTCCAGGAGCTCAGAGCTAAGTTTTAAACTTAAGCTCCGTCATCATTTTTATCCTAGATTATCTGGTATAATTCCATGCGTACCCCTTTTTATTTAAATCATCCATTTCTCATTTGAATGAACTTAAGTTTTATCACATCTGTATAAGTTAACTTTCAAAAATAATTTTTGGGATAAATAAATACATTTAATAAGAAGTGAGGGTAGGTTTGGAAACATAAAATCCTTCCTAACCCTTACCCTCACCTCTCATGTGGTCTGCTGCAATAGCCTCCTAACTGGAAGTCACACCTCCTTTCCCTCACTTATACCTATGCTTAACTCCATTTATTCTTCACAGTATTCAGACTAATGTTTTTTTAAAAAAGGTATGTTTTTATACTTTTCTCCCCCTTTCCCCTGCTTAAAGCACTTGAATTGCATCCATGGCACTGCTCCTTAACAAGACCCACCAAACCATGTAGCATTTGATCCCAGACTGCCTCTTCAGCCTCATTCAGCATCGTTCCATCCTGTTCTATACGCTTTCACTTTCTCAATTACTCCAAGATCCTTCTCAGCACTGGGCGTTTTTTAAAAAATATATTTTTATTGATTTCAGAGAGGAAGGGGAGGGAAAGCGCTAGAAACATCAATGATGAGAGAGAATCATTGACAGGCTGCCTCCTGCATGCCCCCTACTGGGGATCCAGCCCACAACCTGGGCATATGCCCTTGATCAGAATCAAACCTGGGACCCTTCAGTCTGCAGGCCGATGCTCTGTCCACTGAGTCAAAGCAGCCAGGGCAGCGCTGGACTTTTGTATCTGCTCTTCTCTCTTTCCTGCTGCCTTTGCCTACTTAATTCTTACTGTGCCTTCAGATCTCAGTTCACCCTTCACTTCCTCAAGGAAGCTGTCCCAGCTCTCTTGACCAGAACAAATCCCCCTAATATATATTCTCATGGCATTATAGAGTCTTCCTTCATAGGACTCAACATAGCTTTAATTTAACATTTGTTTGTATAATCTTTTACTTAATGTTTGTCTGTCTTACCAAAATCTGTGTATGGTCCATGAGAGAAAGAAATTGGTTTTTGCCAATCACTATATCCCAGTCTTAATAAATATTTGCTAAATGAATGAATGAATTAATGAATAACACTCAAACCTCTTTGTCTCCCCAACTGAGAACCTGGGGGTTTTATTTACTGGAGGTGGCCCAGAACCTGGCACAGTGTCTTACACAGTAGGTTTTCAAATATTAGTTAAATGAAAAAAATGAATGTTTCAACCTGTTCTCTCCAACCATAACAAGTATGAGAAAAGAGTACACAAAGCAAGTAAATGGAAAGGTTTCTCAGAAGCAAGAATTGATGCTAAGCAAGCTCTAGAACAGTGATGGTGAACCTTTTGAGCTCGGCGTGTCAGCATTTTGAAAAACCCTAACTTAACTCTGGTGCCGTGTCACATACAGAAATCTTTTGATATTTGCAACCATAGTAAAACAAAGATTTATATTTTTGATATTTATTTTATATATTTAAATAGCATTTAACAAAGATAAGTCAACCAAAAAATGAGTTCGCGTGTCACCTCTGACATCACTGCTCTAGAATGACATAGGGGGCAAAGCAAAATGGCAAAGAGAGAAAAGAACAAGAGAAACAAAGGAGGGGTGAGGAGAGAGGACAGACTAAAATGAAGATCCAGAGACCAACAAATGTTTGAGTCAGGAGGACACAACAATAGGACATAAAGAAGGTCAAGAAAGCCAAATATTTCTGCTTATCATTCCCTTAGACTGTAGGAAGCAAATGTTCCACAGCATGGCAGGTAGCAAAATTTTTCTCATGAACCTAGAGTTGAAATTCAAAAATTCTCAAGGGACGAGCCCATTTAAGTGGGGAGAAGGGGATATTGAAAGAAGAGGACCATGTGACATCACTGTCCTGGCTACTACTGGTTGGATGTATCAGAATGAGCATCTGACTTAACAGCTGCTCAGAGGGTGGTGAGGCAGTTAGCCAACAACAGATGTACTCAATACTTGACAGCCCAACAGATCCCTTCTCTCAGGAAGTCTGAAGATCAGCATGCCTTCAACAGTATTAACTGCCCACAATGATCCAGGCACCATTCCAGGCACTAAGGATACTGCAAGTACACAAAAAACATCAAGCTTGCCTTCAAGGAGTTTACATTCCAGTAGGGGAGGAACAATATAACCAAATGCAAAGTGTTTATTATAATGTCACATACAGGAAAATCTGATAAAGAAAAATAAAACAGAAGAAGCAAATAGAGAGTATCAGGGTGGGAGATCCCACTTTAGATTAAGTGGGTCAAAGAAGTTTCTCCAAGGAGGTGACATTTCAAAGAGGCCTGCATGAAAGAGGGAAGCAAAAACAAACACACACCCTGGGGAAGAACACTCCAGATAGGGAGAACAGCAAGTACAAAGGTTCTGAGGTGGAAGTATGCTTAGTGTGAAAAGGAAGAACAGAGAAGTCAATGTTGGAACATTGTGAGCACAGGGGGAGAGGGATAGGAACTGAGACCAGAGAGGGAGCCAAGCCCCTCAAAGAAGGAACTAGCAGGTGATGCAGAGCCTGGTAGGCCTCAGTAAGAACTCTGAATTTCATTCTTATGAGAAGGCACTGGAAGGATGAGAGCAGAGGAATGATGAAAGAATAGAATAGAAAATCCATACCATGCTCTTGGGATTATGCAG